TGATTTTCCCCCTTTGCCCAACACTACGCCTAAGGTCAACATTACTTTCCTTATTATACCACTTAACGTGAGAAAGAGATCGTAAACATCTGTGGTCAAAAACAGACAATCTCTTCATGTCTTCCGCTCTCAATGGCCACGTCTCACCGCCATAGAGAAGGACGGAGCGAACTGATGAGCAGTATACACGTCCCTTGGTTGACAGCCGGATGTCACGCCTACGCCAGAGATGGTGTAAGTTAGCGAAAGCAGCCCGAGCTTTCTGGATCCGTGCTGTGATTTCGTCACCAATCAATCCGTTGGTGCTGATACAACCCGAAGAGCACACGAAACCTCTCTACTCCTGTGACACTAGTAACTAGGTAAGGCATTTTGGCATGAATTACAGTGCGCTAAAGTCTGTCTTGGTTTATGCGGTAGCATGCAGGTCATCTAAACCACGCGTTATCAGTTGGAGATCAAAAGCTGTAAGCATAATATGTGACATTTTTGGCAGGAGCATACTTCTGATTGAACTGATACAAATAGCACAGCAGTCTCACCATTTGGGTATCTTCGGGAGTACTGTCAGTGCGCATTGAGATATATTTGGGCAATGAAAATCGTAGTGTGCGTCCGACCGGCTAAGACTAGACTTATAGCTCTTTGGGGAAAAGCTTCCAACCCTTCCCTTGTGAAATGAAACCTCTTTGAAACAAAGTCTGCTTCCAACTACCAGCTACCTAGAAACATAGACTGAGGTGGCTTCATTAGTGCTTAGTGTTTCTTTAACAACTAAAACCAGTTAGACGGATAATTTTCCATGAAATAAGAGATAAACCAATGTGGAGTTCCACATAGACATATACTGGCACAAATCACAACAGAATTAATGTGTGGCAGAGCATAATTTACCAAAAACCGGTGAAAACGATCACTAGTTTTAAGAAATGAATACACCGGTGTTGTTGTGGACAACATCACACCATATCACAAACAGTCTGTATTTATTTATTCTTAGCATCTCAAGGACCCAAGAAGATTAGTATGGACTTCTGTATGCTACGTACGCTAACAGATAATATCATACATTGATGCTGCGTTTTTGCCTGAGCACACCTAGTTCTTCATTTAAGTTCCACATCAGCGAACATTTACTGGTCAATAAAGTGACTTGGGATACATTTTCCAATAACATCAACAGACGTAGCTTGCAATTTTTCCTGTCCTTGTTATTTAATATCGTATTTTAATTTTAGAATTACCCAACAGGTAGTACCAACTGAAGTAAGTAATGCAACGTGAGTGCAGATAGTCACAAACTTTTGATTTTTACTTGCAACATATCTATCACACAACCGTGAAATAAGACAAAGCGAACTGTTGCACGGCAAATGAGCCCCTTCGGGGACAAACAGCTATCCCACCGGAGCCGAGAAACCTAGGTTAATTAGTGTCAAATAACCCTTACATAACAATACCGACATTTTATCAGGCACCAATCTACTAGAGCTAACCAACACACCCGACTACTTCATTTCCTTCGGTAAAATAAGGATCGGTGCACATCAGTTATGCATCAGGAGATAAACAAATATCAAACACACTCACATTTTCTAAACAAGACATTCAAAAAACCGTAATTTGTTGGTGTCTATGCCCAAAAAAGGTTTCATCTGAACACTGTCATAGTTAAAAAGGACTTCCATAGATAGCAAGTTAGTTTCTGAGACAGAAGTCGTATTCATTGATACATCTACACAAAACTAAATTATGACGATGACATAGGGATCTCTGTCGGAAAAGTGCACGGTGTTACTTTAGATGACATTTAAACATAAACTCCCACAGGCACAGGAGATAATATCGAGTGCATAACCAGGATAAAATATTACCCCAACACTCCCTTTACATCCAGAAATAGACAAAACACTACAAGATCAGCAAAGTCGGGTGCTGCCTTTAGTTTTAGAAATAAAGCGATCGCACACTTCAGGTTAGATGTCTACCGTTTCAAACAATTCATCTTATCCATGGCATCTTAAATAAACCTAGTTCCCTGGGATTTGTTTTCCCAAAACTAAGGACAGTCTTTGCACAACCAACAATTTACACAAGCTAGGTGGAAATGTCTCGAATTGCCATGAAATAACTACTGAATAGGTTATTATGACAGTAATGCCTTACGATTAACCCTAAACATACAATCATTGGGTCTTATTTCCCGCTGTAAATTACAGGTAGCTTCAACTAAAGAGTCGGATTCTATGCCCAATCATTCTTGGAGATCGACCCACTTGCCAGAGTCTTCTACAGTCCATCCACTTAAGTACCTTAGATAACTAATGAGTGGTACTTGTTCTGATATCTTTCGGATTTCCTCTACTTGTTACCTACTATAGCAAGAGAATAAAAGAAGTTCCCAGTACATATTATTCCTTCCTTTGCGTTCCGAGTAGAAAACTGGGTCTCAGAGGCATATCTCCATTACACTTAGCACTTTCAGCTGGCTCCATTCAGTTAGTACACAAAAGTGTCGTTATTTCTGCTTTTCAAACTTCAACCTTAAGTAAACACCTGCTTTGACTAGATAATAAGCGATGTTCAAAGAAGTAGAAAGCTACCATTGATATCTCAACCTAATGACTTTAAGCAAATCGGTCTATTCATACCCATCGTCAGCTTCATTCCCACAATAGTTAGACGAAATAGTACCTCCACCTTGGTTTGAAGTCTGTTTAAGCCAGTTCGACATCGCTTTCTTAGTGTAGTTTTGAGCTGCATAATCTCTCAGACCCTGTACAAAGCTAAGTGTATCAAAGACAAACAGACCCTAACCAAAAACAACTAACTTTTATACAATAGAGCTGAATTATGCATAATCTAACTATCTCTCTGGATGTTCCAGTCAGTCCCAGGAATATGAAACAGCAAACTTGTACAAGCCACTGAGGCGATATTCACCTACTAAGCGACTTGCAGTACGTCTAAATGTCATTGAATCTTCGAGTTAATAAGTTAGCAACACGAGCACGCATTTTAATCGAGACAGGAATGGGCAAGCAAACATAGTTACAGCACATTCTAAGCACGGAGAGACCAGTTACCACAGACCTTGACTGCATACACTGAAGTGCTGCAAGTCAGAGGTTTGTCAGCCAGGCGACTGAGCGAGGCAGCCCTGCAGGAAGGATTGGAATGTATGACTATTGGCACCGACCTTCAAGTTTACTCATGTGCAGAGGAATCATTGGTGGCTTGGTTGTTTTCTGACAAACATTCATTTTAGCCAGTAGTATGACTACTCTGAGAATACCATCAGAGAATTAACAGCTTACATTATGACGACAGGCGTTTTTGCTTTGTTGCGATAGCCACCTTCAGCAACAGTACTCAAGGCACCATATCTTGTAGGGTCATTGTCACATGCAGGCTCAATCAAAGCATTAAGATGGCAATTGGCCACCGGGCGAAGCATTTTCAGAGTGGAGTATATACCATACAACACTGACTAAATACAGGACGAGTATGTGCTTACATATCACCCCACTATCAATGGCACAACTTCTAAGTCATGAATAGAGTGTCAGAAAATAATACATACCAGGTACCCACGAAACTTAGTACTATGAAACAAAAGATGTGTGTTTAACTGGAACGCGCGAACTTCGCGTTTAAACGTGTTGCTAAAAATAGCTCAGAAAGAAAATATTACTAGTCATATCGCAGCTGCTTTTTTTAAGACACAAAAATAGTCAAATTATTTGCATGCCTTGCTTAACCATCCTGTAAAGTATCTCGCGTAGATGCTACATTAAGCTTGTGTTTTAGGTGAATTAATTAACATATCGTCATAGTTTAGGCCAAAGATAGATTTGGAACAAAGTGAATTAATTATACAACTGACATTAAAAAACTAATGACTAAATGGAGCCATGTCTTTTTATTCCCTGTGTGGGTAGAAAAAGGAGAAAACAAGTACGAGCAGTGGATATACAGTATGGATAACAATGCTTACGAAAATCTTTAACGTTTTGATGTAGCTGTATCCACTAAGCTCATGGATATCCTTGAACTGAGCTTAAAACCAAACCTACTTTCAACCGATGACATCTGACTAACACATGTAGGATGCAGGCTGTTGTTGTAAGTAAAGGGATTAAGTAGTAAATAAAACGATGCGTTAGATGCGAAAGCTGTCACTGATAAATTAAGAACTAGGAGATGGCTAGGTCACGTGCTGCACATGCCTAACCATCGCCTTCCCCGAAGGGCATTACTAGCTGACATAGGTGCAGGTTGGAAAAGAGTAAGTGGTGGCCAAACAAAAACATGGCCTCATCAATCCATGAAGTGCCTGACAGTTAAACTGAGTCAGGTAGGGAGGGAGATGCAGACTTCCAGGTTGGGGCCCTCGGGACTCTAAGAATCAATGGCTGGAGACAGACAATAGGTGACATGGCTCAAAATCGTTGTCAGTGGCTTACGCAGATGTATTCAGTCTCTGTAATCTTTCATATTGCTTTCTACCATTACTCATTCTGTTTCACTCTTATACTTGTCTAAATTCTATTGATTCTCTTCACTCATTTTCTTGTCTACCTTTGTGTGCTATTTGGAAGGTGGCAACTGGAACTGCTGCACTTCGGTGCCAAGTTCTATGTTGAATCCAGCAGCAGCAGCAGCAGCAGTAAGAACTAGGAATTACACCTCATATGAACTGATTCAGATTTGACCTTATATATGTATATATACATATATATATATTCGGTAAAGAAAGTTAAGCTTAAAGATGAATTAGAAACGAATGTTTACAAAAGATGTACAATACAGGTTTTTGGGACAATAACTTCAATTACGTATCATCGTTTCAACTATTGAGAAGTAAAATCGTGTGCATCGTTGAGAAATTATTAACGAGAGCGAAATAAAGTCCCACTATTGCTTTGACAATGGCGAAATCCAAGTTAAAAACACACTAGTTTGAAATGACCCTCAAAGAATCAAAAACATACACTCACCTGCCACTCAGTAGACCTAAGACTAATGTGTGATTCTTCATCAAGTTCTTTGTATACAAATACTAGCCAATTGAAAGATAGGTCACATGAATTCGTCTTCATCCAATGACTAAGACGAAAAATGTCACGTTTAACATTTCAAGGTCGAAAACCTGTCTAGCCACTACTTACCTTCAGCTTATTGGTTGAAAATATGAAGTAGACTAGATTGTGTTCAACATTGACAATAGACACACTAATTACTAAGATCTTGTGTACCCTGTTTCCGGATCTGGTTATCCACCCTACAAATTAACGAACCTTCAAGTAGTTTCTGTATTTACCCTGTGTTACATTATGCATATGACTATCTATTAGAAATCTGAGAGGGTAGATATAAAAGGAATAGCGATGAAAGTGAACGTCTTGCCAAATGACCTTGGAAGCCAGTCTACTACTCCCTCTTATTTTAGTCATTCTATTCTATTACTTTTAAGGCTTTGTGTTAGTTGATGATTTATGGACTTATTTGTATGTTGGGAATCTCAGTGACTCATTATCATATACCATTCATTGAGTGACGTATTGTATAAGGCAGAAGATATTTACGAACTATGTCTCACTAGTTCTGGGATGGGTGAATAAATGGAGCCGATATGAATCGTAGTGTTTCGCCTAAGAGACTTTTTTTTATAAACATATCCGGATGAATTATATATGTCCAAACCAAGTTCACTTTTAACAGTTTGAAAAAGTTTGGGCATTGGGTATATGATATTTATTAGAATAAAGTTTTTTTGTATTTCCCAATGAATATGCTGAGATTTTGTAAATTCCGGTTTAATAATACTTTGATAAAGGTATTAGCACTAAATAGCGAAACGTCAGTAAAAACAATGTCACTTTGTTTTTCATTCATTGGGAAATACAAATACTAGTGTCCAAATTCCTTACTTATTTTAATGGTATCACTCACATCATTCCGCTAAGAAAGTAGTTCAATGATTGTTTCAATTATTAGTCTGTTGTTACAAAGAGTACATGTGTACCTGCCATCCTAAAACAGGTTCAAAACCCCAGAACCAGGAGTAGTTTCGGAAAAGAATATACTTTCTTCAGAAATATGTGTCTTAGTTATTTGAATAATTACCAAGTCTTTCCTGTTTTTGAAAGACTACAAAATGAAGAGTATTTATTGCTCCCTTTAATTCCACAGGAAAAATAAGACTTCGGTGGCATATACCCTTGTTTGTGCTATTTTCTCCTGTCCACTTTAGCCGGACCAACTGTTGCCCATAGTCTCTCATCTCCTCCAAGTCACCCTCGGACGACCCACTCGTCGTTTCTGACTCACTTCCCTCTCGAGGGCCTGATGAGTGGTACTATTCAACGGTCTTCTCAGCGTGTGTCTGATCCGTCTCCATTTTCTTTCAAACATTTGTTGGTCAATAGATTCTTGATCCGTTAGTCCCCAGAGTTTCTTATTGCTAATTGTTTCCAGCCATTTATTCTTTAATGTGGACCCAACGAAAGCAGCTGTTGATAAAAGTCTGCAACCTGTTAGAAATACTTTTCGCGACGCGCCAAGTTTCTGACCCACATAGAAGAAATGACTTCACACTGGTGTTGAAAATCCGAATTTCGTACTTCATGCTGAATGCGGCAGATTTCTAAACTGATTTCAGGGTCATAAAGATCTATCTTGACTTCCCAATTCTGAATTAGACATTCCCATTGGTTAATTCGCCTGAAGTTGAAACGACGCTTCCCAGATAAATGAAGGAAGTGACTTCTCTTAGACTTCCCCCATTGGTAGTGATTGGCGCTTATTGTTGTTGGCTGGTTATTTTGGTCACCTCCATCGTCTCTTTGCCCACCTGAAATCCTGTCTTTTTCGCCAGCTTGTTGGTTTTCGTCGGTGGATCTTTGACTTTATGAGACACTAGACATAAATCGTCCGCGAAATCCAGATCTTCTAGAGTCTTCTTATCGGTCCAACGTATTCCCGTCTTCTGGCTCCGCACTCATGTTGTGTTGTAAATCTAGTCCACCACAATTTGGAACATCATGGGTAATAGTAGAAAGTATTGTTTAACTCGTGTCTTCACTTGACACTGTCCGCCTTATGTAAACATGACCCTACCAGGATTCGTGATCAAGCTTGAAATCAATCAAATGCCTACGAATTAACACTTGACAAATTTGCATTGAATTGTAGTTATGAGTCATAACCATACGGATGTCCCCGGTTGGGTGCGACGTCAGACACACACAGATGACATTAGCTGGTGGCGGAGCTAACAGTCGCAAAATAATCAGATGCATAGGTCATTGAACTCCGTCTCACTGGCTAAATAATCGTGATTGAAGATCCTGGGTTCGGTCACTGGCGGTGTTATTGGAGCATACTGTCGAAGAGTCCCAAACTAGGATGAAACAGCTCTCCAGTTCTCGCTGGTTTTCCAGTGGTTTTCTAACTGACATCAATCCGTGATCAAACTTGAAAACAAATCGAATCCCTACAAACTAACACTTGGAAATTTAGATTATCTTATACCTTGTTATGATTATGAGGTCAAATAGTCAGAATAAATCAGTAGGTCAGGATTGGTTAAATTACCCAATGCACAGGAATTCAGTAAAATCTAGACTGGTTAACCCTAGTAAGATAAGAAATCTAGAAAAAACTCATCTATAATATTACATGTAGTTACACACAACCATACGATAGGATGGGATGGGGTGACAGTCTCAAAATCTAAAAGTGATAACGGAAGCTTTATTTATCGAATAAACTGAAAATACATGCAATAGGAATGATACAACACCTGTCTCGGTCATCTAGAAGAATCTATTAGCCTTACGAAAATTGGGCAGGAAGAATCAAGTATGTATAAATCAAGATTCAAAGTTCTGTTGGTACAGGTGATAGTGATTTTGAACAATGAATATCACCCAGCAAATGATACTATTTCATCGTGTGATATATCCAATGAATAAATATGATATTCGAGTGTCAGTTTTGCAGGGATTTGATTTGATTGATTTCAGGACTGGTTTCATTATGAGCTGACATCAGTTAGAGAACCTTGGAAAACCTGGGAGTACTGGACAGCTGTTTTGTCAGCTCGTGATAAAATCCTGTAACCAATCAAATGAAATCTCTGCAAACCAACACTTGAACATCAATCTGATGCTCACTAGCGACTGTCCTAATTCAGGTAGGTAGTTAGTTACCTGGGTTCTAATGGGAAGTCGTGACCACTGGGGTACAGCAGCTCTGGTGTTAGGACAAATACTCTCCGAAGACATTGGCTAGTGGTTGCGCTATATTGTGAATTGCATGCAGGATTTCATCATGAGCTGACAACAGTTAGAGAACCACTGGAAAACCTGGGAGTACTGGACAGCTGTTTCGTCCTAGTTTGGGACTCTTCATCAGTACGCACCCACCATGCAATCAAACAAAAATCCCTACAAAACCAATACTTGAATATTGTGAATTCGCAGAAGTTTAAATTCATGGGCTGGCCACTGGATCGCGTCCCAGTGGCTTAATGGTCTACGAGCTCAATTGTAACCAGAAGCTCCTGGGCTGGGAACCTAGTGGTTGGTGTGCACTGATAAATAGTCCTCAGCTTGGACGAAACTCCCAGGTTTTCTAATGTCTCTCTAACCGATATCACCTCATGATGAAATCCTGTAACCAAATAAATATGAATTCGCATACTAAACACCATAATCTCAAAATTTTAAATTATTCATTTTACATAAAAATCACTTAAATTACCTTATCATCATAAATAACAATAAAACAAAGATATTAGTTGGAGAAGTGTATATATCAGAAAAATGTACATGTTTGAACTTGAGATTTTAGCTTGCGTACCAAAGTAATGAGTTCAACTAAATTTTACTGGACACATCTGATTGATCATAGGTATAGTCATGCCTTATAATGCCGTATAGAGATATTTTTCAGAAGTAATAGTAATAAGTATTTTAGTGTATATATCTTTTAAATGCGCAACGATAACTTTCATTCATTCCTGTCCAATGTCTTATTTAACCAATTATTTATGGTGACCATATCATTGTTCCTTAGATTTATACATAAGTCCAATAAACATTCTCACTCTACCTTATTCTTTTTACAATGTGACTCTTACTAGCTGTGACACACAAATGTATAAAAGCAAATCGAAGTTCATGAGTAATACCTATGTTTATAAAATTAATGATAATCTTATGGAATCAGGAGAGATGAAAACTAATTAGTTGGGTTGAATTGAATTTTAGATTTTCCCGTCGATTGATTGGACCGAAGTGCTCGGTCTCAGGTTGACATGTCGGCTTCTTGAGCAGATGCTTCGATGATGTCTGGGCATTTAATTAGTATTTAATTGGTGGATGGTGACTAGCAGTGGAATCCAGGATGCGCATTTCGTCGAAGCATCTGCTCAAGAAGCCGACATGTCAACCTGAGACCGAGCACTTCGGTCCAATCAATCGACGGGAAAATCTAAAATTCAATTAAATCAATATGACCCGTTGCACAAGAGGTGGCTCTCGTGGCCCAAGCGGTCTAGTGGATAACGCTTTGCCGTTTGAAACTACGGACAGGGGGTTCTAGCCTAGGTGGGAGCATCATCACTTACTGAGAAATGCAGGTACATCCAGTGACGAGTCCCAAATAGGATGAAATACACATCCTGGATTCCACTGCTAGTCACCATCCACCAATTGAATACTAATTAGTTGGATGATGAATAATTATTTGGAAATAGTAGATAAGAGACAAGAGAACAGAAGATTGAATGTGAATTGTAAAAACATAAAACGGACTACATAGAGCTTATTAAAAAACTAGTTATTCAGGAAGACAAAGAAAAAAAATAGTTCTAAAGTAAAAGAGCTGGCTGGATGAAACGTTTCTGAAGACGAAGTTCAGGTTTCTGCTTAAGGATTGATAAGACCTCAGCTGCATGAAGAATATGTGGGCAAAATAAATCCCTTTGAACGACTTGGTTGTACTTTATATATGAATCTGACAGAAGTCTTTGCTGATGCTGCCGCAAGGCCAGAAGTAATAATATACTCCAGAATTAAGCTGTTGACAGCTC